CTGGCTAAAATTATAACCTAATGCATGCATGAATATCTAATTTCAGGGGCTTAATTTTAGCCAGGCGCTACTTTAGATGCAACATTTCCACACCTATGTAGATCACTTTTTTTAATACTTTGATAATTCTGTAATTGAAGTATTTCAGCAGCCACCCAAATAAATATCGTTGAACTTTTTTTTATTTGAATTCTAAAATAAAAGCCGCGGCAAAAGGTTTCCTGACTTTAATCGAAGATATCTCGACAACCACCTAATGAAATTCTATGTCCTTTTTTTATTTGAGTTCTATAGATTCATTGAATTCAAATAAAAATAAGTACATCGAATTTAATTAGGTGATGAGATACATTCAATCAAATTTTTAAAAGTGATCTACAAGGATGTAAAAATATCCGATCCTTGTAAATTTTAATTTTTTTAATAATAAAATTTTTGATACAAATCAAATTTAAATTAGTATTAATTTGATTTAATCAAATTTAAATTAAATTAGAATTAATTTGATTTAATCAAATTAGAATTTAATTAAATTTAAATTAATTTATAATTAATTTGATTTAATCAAATTTAAATTAAATTAGAAGTAATTTGATTTAATCAAATTTAAATTAATTCAATATTTAGATTTGAGAAACCCCAAATATTTTTAAACATCTTTTATAAAAAATATTTTTTTGGTTTTGTTAGTTAATCAATCATAATTTAATGTAATGCAGTTAGGTTTTATAGGTTCTAAGTAAATTAATAATTTAAGTTGATTTTTTAGTTTTTAATTAAAATTAGACTATTCCTAATTTTCATCCCAGGTTACTCCTAACTTTATTCTAAATACTAACCTTAGCATTAACGAACTTTAAAGAATTTTGCCATGCTAAACCTGGACGTGTTATTGTATGTTTTATAGATTTTTCTTTTTATAAGTTTTTATATATGATATCACAAAGTACTTTGTGTGTATAGAATAAAGTAATTCCAGCAATAATCACTCTTGTAAGTATTATATCGCAAAGTGCTACTTTGTGTGCGTAGAAATGCTGCCCTAAGGCAATATCACAAAAGACTAAAGATATCGATTCTTTATTAGAAATTATACATGCATTTCCTAACTCTTAGAACACCAGAGAATGCGAAAATATATATATGAACTTAAATCTACTACCTACGATCAACAGATCTAGGAACAAGAATACGGAATTCGAGATTTTTTTACAGTACAGTATAAAGAGTGCATATTTCAGGACGCGTTATTTTACATAAATAATGTTTTAAAATAGCGAATACATAGTAAAGTAGTACAGTACTACTTTACTGAATACCTCAAAATAGCTCACAAGTATTTGTACGATAATTTACTAACGATTGATCGTCGATTCAATTTTCGACACAATTTTTCCTAAGAATGATTCGTTAGTATCGAATGTATTTTCAAATATCTTTTCTGGAATAACTCAATTAAATATTTAATAACATCTTCAATTATGAAACCATCATGTAAACGAATCGTTTTTTTTAAAAAGAAAGGTTTGTTTTTTTAATTTTATTTTGATACAATAATAAAAATGAAGTATTATTTACATACTTTTGTGGATAATTATACAAATATAGGAAATAATATATACAATTGTTCTTTTTTTTTGAGTTTTTCAAATATTCTTATGTTTTTTTTTCCTTTTTTTTTTTGATAGTTTAAGAGTGAGGGGAATTTTTTTTATTCGGACATTCTTAAGTGTTTGGAGGATTTTTTTTTTTTTTATGATTTTAAATGGTCATATATTTTTTTTTTTTTAGTAATTGTTCTTAATAAAAAGACGTCATATAAAAAATTTTTAAAATTCATATTTTGTAGAGTCTCTAGAACTCTACCATTTTTCAAATTCGTACCAAGGAATAACGCAGACACCAAAATTTTCTTTCAACTCTTCCAACTCTTTTACTACTTTACCATTCCATCTGGCTTCACCACCAATTCCAACTCCAAGATACTTCACCGAAGATCCTGCTTGTCCTTTAATAAAACTTGTAATCACCTTCATATCCATATACAAAGTTTTAACAACGTCAACAATTAATACTTTTAATTTCGCTTTACAATCACTTAATAATCCATCCAATTTAAATCCACATTGAAGTCTTAAATATGTGAGCGAGGAAGGAAGAGATTTTCCTGAGATGATTGTGGATTCAGATGCCAAAATAGGAAGGGATTTGGATGGTGTTTGAATGGTTAAGTGAGTGACGTTTTGTAATGTTTGGAATAAAGAGCTTAACAAATGGTCATGAAGGGATGGATAATAATCTACGAGAGTAAGATGCGTGATATTTGGACAATTCTCCATCATAGAATTAATTGTATCCTGCGTTATTATGTCCATTGTTAATTCCCGTAAGGATGACTTTCCAGCAGCTTGAATTATCAAGGAATAAATTATGGGATTCCTTTGTAAATTTGTAAGATGTAATTTCTTTAAATTATCAAATTTGATAATATTCCACAATTCATCAATAGTTGAGGGTGTCGTTGTTACAGTATTTGTCATGTCTTGGACTGTGAGTTTTCGACAATTTGATATTTTAAGATTTTCCAGGTTCGTGCATTTAGCCAAAGCGTACAGTGACAATGTCGTGATGTTGACTCTGTCTATTTCTACGGAGGTTAATGAACGAACTTGGGATTGTAGTGCATGAATGATAACTTGAGAATCGTTTTCATTTTCCACACCCTCTAAACTAAATTCTTTTAATTTATTCTGAGAAGTTATAATTGATACTATTGCTTCTACGACATCAGGATTACTTTCGAACATCGGGAGCTTGACATTCAAAATTTGAATCCTTCTACATAATTTTGGGATTGTTTTCATTAAATTTATAGTATTTTTCAACATGGATTGTTGAGAATAATCAATTTCGAGCTTTGAAATATTTGATAATCCTATAAACCCGGGAGTCGGTGTAATATCGAGAAGAGGAAAAAGCTCTGGAATGTCATCATGGCATGGAATTTTATCAACCCTAAAACACCTCATATTTACAGAATTTCTTAAAAATAATTTACATAAAATTGAAGTCATGAAATTTAATTGTTCGTCCATTTGATTTATTTGACAACCGAATTCCATAGCGCATCTGTAAATCCAAGATTGTACAGTCATTTCCAATTTCACGATTGAAAATTCTTGCAACATCATAGGATAATTGAATAATGGGGTTTTTTGTTGTAATAGTTCTGATATGAATTCGGTGTCATAAGAATTTTTAATTAATAAATCCCTAAGGTCAGCTTTTTCGGCATCATTAAGTGATGAAAGGTAAACTAACACGATTTTGTACATATTCTCAGGGGTTAAATTATCGAATGGACGAGCCCATAGGAAAGGGATTACGTTGCGACACCAATAACGGTTTATGAGTAAAAATGGGTGCAACGCTTCTCCTTGATCAACGAGGTTTTGAAATATTTGGTACATACATTCGGTGGGAAGGGTTGGTACCATTAACGGTTTCTTAACTTGGACAGGAGCGAAAAGGTTTATCATGAATTTCATTAATGGATTTTCTGACATCTTCGAAAAATCGTTAATAAGATCTTTTTTTTTTTTTTTTTCTAAAGGACAAAAAAAAATAGAGAAAAAATATTTTTCGAACTTGTAATTTTTGAAGGAGTGATTGATGAAGTATTTATAGAAAAAGTTTATTGAAAAAAATATTAAAATTAGTTTAATAATACTTGCTGCCAAATTCGGACAACATTTTAGGCGTCAATTGTTCCCATTCTGAATTAGACATTACGTTTAAAAAAACGTAAAAAAAAAAAAGATTATATATTAATATTCATGTGTTACATTGATGCATAATATTCTATAAATAAAATGTAAAACAGGTATTCTCATATCCAAATTGCCACAATATCGGTTTTAAATAACAGTTAGTGATATCAACCGACATGACATTGTTTATCAATGCGTTTAAGCGCAACACAAACATAAATAGTAATGTTTAAGATTTCACATAGAATACTCAATGAGATGGTTGACTTATGTATAATCATGACCGAATTAGCTTATTATATTTTCTCCTTAGCATTTATCGTAATACAAACTTCAAAGTGGCCACGCATATATCGATATTTCTTAAGTCTTTACATTGAACTGTATGTAATTAAAGACCAATTGTTTATCGAATATTGTTTACGCAAAGCGCAAAATTTACAAATTTAATATAAATTTATTAAAATGGATAATGTAGGATGGTATCATTGAGAATTTGGGAATTTCTCGACCGAAATTCTATACGTACCAACAAGAACAATATGTTCGATTCTTGGGTATCCTTTATATGCACCAGCCACTTTCTACTAACAATAGAGTCTTAGTGCATGGTGTAAATTATTATGGGAATCACAATGAGCATTTACTTTTAGGGATTATTATTTCGGTACACTTTATTTCCTTATTGAGTTAGAGCAAATACGTAATGTATTTTAATTTTTAGGTGTTTGTTTAAGGTTGTGACTTACCTGTAAAGGAATAAACTACATTTAGAACCGAAGCACATTTTGTGGGGAAATTCTATATAGCAACGTGTTTTCTAAAAGATATCGATAGACGTACTCGTGTACGTATCGATTATTCGATTATTCGTTACGTACGTACTACACAATGTCATGATCCTATTTAAGAATTTTAAGTGTTCATTCCTACATACATCTATAAAACCTAGGATTTTGAACAAATATTACCTAAAAAAAATTGATTCAAAATTTAAATTTATTGTTAATATAATTAATTATATATGACTAAATCTTTTTTTTTTTTATTTACATAAATCCATTTAGGTATTTTCAGTAAAATTAAAAGAAATATTAAAACATTGCTGCATAGCCCAAAATAATCAAGCCTGTCAAAATTATTATGCACTAGCAAAAATATATTGTGTTACGTTTGTTATAATTTTAAAAATAATTCCCTAAGCATATATTCCGCGTATACATCCTCAACTTACATCTCATCTGACTTGCCATCTTGTGATCTCTCATCAGCATGTTGACTAACCAATAAATAATTTAACACAAATCCATCAGATTTTCTTTCGATTTCTCCATCCCGACCATCATCATCGCTTTCCATATTATCATTGTTATCTCTCATCGATCCATCGTTCAAATTTACTGATATATGGCCATCATCTATAAAACTCGAATTTCCACTCGTAAATCCCATACCTCCATCACCACCATCCATTCCATTCCTACCTTCTAAAACATTTCTGCTTGATTCATCCTTTTCCTTATTGCCTCTTGAATTGTCACAAACATTTTCATTCGTTACATCACCAATAATCTCATATTTAGGTTCCCCATCATTCTTACCCGACATCCAATATATGTCAATCATTACGTTTACGATGAAAAATACAAAGAATGCTAACGTAATTTGAATGAGTGCATATGAAAATGCGTCAATGCTATTTGTAGAGAGATATAGAATTTGGTCCTCGTGTACCCCCATAAAGAGAAGGCCGGAAACTATCAATAGCTAAATGAAAGAAAAAGTATTGAACTTAAGAGAATAATGTCAAATAAAATCATATTGTTCTTCAATAATAATAATAATTAAAAAAAAAAAAACTTACAAAAGGACACAAACTCCTGAATGGTGTAATTGGTTTCTCTGCTACCAAATAACAAACTTCTATCAATCGTGCAATACCTGCACCCATTAGAGTAAATCCAAACATTCTTTGAATTTCTGATGATATGTCTAATTGTTGAGCTTGTTGACTCAGGATGTAGCCGGTGAATATTATTATTAATGATGGAATTAAATTTCGTTTTGCGTTTTTGCGGGATAAATAAATGCCGAGTAAACCTCCTGACCACCACATTATTCCTACAAGTGTATTCTAATTTGTATAATAAATAATGATTAAATAGAAATGGAAATTACCAAGGTCATAAAACGTTTATAAAAAAAAAAAAAAATTTTTTTTTAAATCATGCGTACTTGTATATCACTGGAAGTCCAACTCTTTTATGAAAAGAATTTTTAATAAATTTATTGATTTTTTTTTCGTTAAATTCTTTATCACTATCTACATCATCAAATACTTACTGTACCCCATCTAAAAACATTATTGAAATTTGAATATTATTAAATATTATTAGAATGAAATTTTTTTTTTTAAACATAATCTTATTTCAGAAAAGAAATTTACCTATGTTCCATAAACGTATTTATAAATCCCCAAATCATAATAACCCAACTATCATAATAATCTTGTGATTTTCCTTTATGACGTAACCATTCTGTCGAAAATCTCATGACGAATATTAATAGTATTCCATGAGCCATAAACGAGGAACCCTATAAACATATACATCAAAGATTATTTATTTATTTATTTAATCTAAAATTATAGGATCATATAAATTACCATTATAAAATGAGCGAGGCATTGTCCTAGTTTGTTTCCCCTGTTGAATTAAAATAAAACTGTGAATTAATTAATATATAAAAAGAATGTCTTGATCCTTTTAATTCACTTTTTAACTCACCTACACCATCCAGTAGCGGTAATAACACCCAAAACAATTTGTATATATCCGACAACTGGCATACAAACGCCAATCACTTTGTGAAACTTGACACACATAGGTCTAATCCACTGATGAGCACCATTATTTAAATGGCATTTCAGATATAAACCGAGACAAACTTGTACCATAAGCATAAGCATAACATAAGAAGCGTTCGAAGCATGTGCTGTATCACTGGCAAATTGACGACCTTCATGAGAGTGGCCAAGAAAATAACCCAGTGTAGCTATGAAGGTGCCGATAAGTTGTAAGGGAACATGATAACGAGAACGGGAAAACCCCAATACCATGCCTTACGTGTAATAAAATGAATAAAAGTGACCATTTTAAAATTTTTTAACTGATAACAGTAATTTTTAATTAAAAAAGTTTAAATGGACTAATTGGTAGTAGACATCACATACCAGTTGGAAATATAATACCAAATGCTAAAGACATAAATATTATATGAACCCAAAGGGTTCCATCGATTGGATCATCAGTTGCTCCAATATCGCCTGTTAAATTCGCATGTTCATGAGCAACTATTGTTGGTACTATTAATAATAACCAAATAGTCAATTGTTGAGTTATCGAAAAGAACCCCATCGATCATTAAATCGACAAAAAAAATGAATCATAAAAAATTTCTATCTTGTAAAAATGATCATTATCGTATTATTTATACTAAATTATTTGGAAAGTGACTATGGTGTATATTCAAAACATTGGCTCATCATCTTTTGATACTACTTAAGCTACTTATGAAATTCGTGGCTTTGTCAAAAACCAAAAGTAAAATGGATCTAATATACTTCAGTCACATGAAATCACGAACGTAACGAGTATCAAATGTGGCTTATGAAACATCAAGACTACAACTTGCTATCTAATTTTTTCATCAAATTAGAGATCGATACGTACAATGATGACAATGATCTAAGCATATAACTTGTTCGTTCCAATAAGCCAAGATTCGATCAATCATTAATTCGAACCTCCACAAAGTTATGTAACACTAATATTCTATAGCGATATAGCAATTACATTGTAATTATTGAAGTGTTACACAAAAATGCCAATAGCTCGAAATTTTCTATTGCTATAATTAAGACACGTTTACATACAGGAGTTCCAAATGTTTAATTAATAATCAAATGGGTTAACACTAGAGATGTGCTCGCGCGAGATAAACCTAGCATACAGTATATCTCGACTTGCGCGAGATGCTTATATGAGACAAGAATTGTAACCTAGCATATTGTGGAATTATTTTTTAAAAGTGTATACTTGATTGATTTTTGATTCGGTGTTTTGATTCGGTGTTTTAAAACAGAAAATAAGATTCTTTAAACTCCTTTATTTTTCAAAATAAGTTAATTCCAAAACCCCTCATTGTGTAATTTTACTATTTATCAAATTTACTCGTGAAATGAATGTAAAATGATGTTATCGTCCACGCGAAGGCATATCACTAGTTAACATACCCGAATTTGATTTAATTGAAATAAGCAGTGAATTACAAATTGTAATCATAATACAAACATAAAATATATATATTGTGATAGAAATCAGATGGTTATCAAGAAATTAAATGCTTAAGTTTAATATTAAAAATTTTAGGTATTATACAATCATCCTCTATAATCAGACAGTTTTTTCAAGCAAAATGATGATTATAAGAAATGTTTGTACAGTGTTCACCCTATATAATCGCATAAATAAGTATTATCCGGCAACCTCATATGATCATAAAAAAATTTCTTATTTTTTCACGTGTTACGATATGAATATGTTCAGATAAACCATTATTCGGCAAATTTTTGAATAACGGTAATTTGCTCAACTGGCAAATGATTTGACTCATACCACGAAACGGCATGTGTTCATTTGCCTGATTGGACCAAATTACCCTTATTCAAAAATTTTTTGCCACATATATCCTTTCGTGAATATATAGAGTATTACTTTATTAATAATCATTTTGTAGACACTTATTTTACAGATAAACAAGTTCATTTCATATTTCAACAATTGATACATTTGAAACTGCTGAGTTGATGAGTTTATGTTTAGGCACTTGATCTCGTTAAAAGCCTACAATAAAAACTTAGAGTTTCAGCAAATGAACATCTTCCAAAAGCATTGAATGAATGAAATAAGAATTACGTTTTCAATTAGATATGGCTAAACCTGGTTAAATATCGCACTTTCCGAAGATAAATTAATTTAAAAAGTTTTATAATAAATCACAAGAAAACATTCGTTTCATGGGTTTATAAAAGACTTTCGTCCTGAAAACCAATGTATAAAATCCATCTGCACAATGTGTTCAGAGCACATGCTTTTAAAAAGTTTCACATGTTTTTGATTAGAAATGTTCACAAAATTTTGTGCTACATGGTACACCATAATTATTATAATATTATAAATATGCACATAATGCATGTTGTGAACATAATTTAACTAGATAACTGCGCGACGTCATCGTGCAAAACCAGGGACGGAAGACCTAAAAAAAAATAACAGCTAATTATTAGCCGATTGGCTAGACAAAATCATATATGAGAGCTTATGTCTAAGTACTTTACCTTTCAACAAATTACTTTTTTTAAAATTAGTCGGCCAATATGTGTATTGGATTCCATATTAATATAGGTCATAGTATAGCATGGTTTTTAGAGAGTATAGAAGGCTTAAGAGGTAACATATCCAGTAAGGGCAATCCGTATAAATAATAATTTATTTACAAATGTTCTCATCTTAAGATTACGGGATAACCATAATGTTATAAACTACAAAAATGTAAAGCGATACTCATCTTTAATTTTTGCTATTTTCAGAAGACAAAAGTTTCTAATTTTAATTTTTTTAATTGTGTGATTCTGCTCAAATGATAAATATTGCGACGATCATATTTCTCACACTTAAACCGGTAACAAAGCAAGTTTAATATATACAAGTTCAGATCCATGTGACAATGTAACATTGTGAAATTTAAGTGCATTTGATGCATTATCTAATCATTCACGAGTTTTTTGCGGACGAACATAAATTGCCATTTAACTATACACTTCATTTCATTACGTTCCTGGTACAAAATAATATAGTGCACAAGATTCACATACTTTTTTGGGTTCAGACTTTATATACTAATGGAAATCACCAAGTTCTTTAAGATTTCGGCGCGGTTAAATCGATTGGCATAAGAAATTTTGGGAAACTCGACGTAGTATATGGATATGAAAAGTCATAAATCATAAAAATATTTTATTCGTAGAATCAATATATTTGCATAATCATTGTTACTGTAATCTCTCACAAAAAATTAATCAAAAAATTTCTTTCTTAACGTGACTTAATCCTAACTCTAAAGATTTCATTACACTTGATTTTTCGATAAAAATCATAAAGTGTGAAATTTTTTGTGGGAGAGCTACCAACTGTACCGAATTTCATAAAGCTAATCAAATTTCAAGATCAAGCGTAAAATTCTAACTTCTAATTATTATTTGTACTTACTAATATTAGAGTCTGTTATTAAACGACAGGCTATATAATAAGAAATAAACATTATATACAAATATGTTACTTATAAATATGCAAAGGACATTGTCTTATATATAAAGAAAATAAGGATTTAGGCTTTATGATTTATCTTGTATCAAATTCAGTCTTTTAAAAAATCAATAGTGACATATATATATATAAGTGATCATTTCATTCAGGTCTTTCTTTTCGTCTAAATCTGGGCTGGATCCAGTAAATAATTAATAATAAACTTGAAAATATGAAGTTTTATTTTTAGCATATTTACATAGTGCTTATTAGGTTTATATATAAAAAATTTATTATCATACAAAGTATTCTTTTTTTATTATAATGTCAAATTGTAATTTATATTTTATTAGCTTTTTGTATTACTATTACAAATAGTTACATTACATTTGTGCTACTAAATTGCTAATTGCTCTAGACATCCAACATAACATTACATCTACACTTTCCTATTTTTTTATAGTATTTACTATGTATTACAATTATTGTTATTAGTTACTAGTAAAGTTGTAGTCACCTTGTTGTACCTTAATTTCCTATTACTTAACCTGAATATAGTTCATCTGTCTACTTCTTGCAGTAACCTTTTTTTCTTTCAAAGTGGTTAATTTTTGCAGTTTTTTGTTTTTGTTGCTACTAATTTGATATATATAGCTTTATATACTTTTCTGATATCCTGTTTGCACAATTAAATTTATCAAGTTTCAGATTATCAATCTACATCTTTTTTAGTTATATTTCTATAGTTGGTTTGATTTGTAACTTAATTATATATGCTTCTTGTAGGTTTTTATATAGATGTATTACTGACTATATACTGATATATTATTAATTTGATATTACAAGAAGGCCTAAAATCTTAACTTATTATATATAAATATAATATCCATTATTTAAGATATAATATATGATTATCTATTAAATAATATAATATTTCCTTATTATTTTTATTAATATCTATTTAAGATATTTTAATTCTAATTAGATTAATTCTTTATTACAGATTTTCTTTATAGATTTCAATCATCTAACTCTTTCTGTATATCACTAAAACTAACTTTTCTTTAACAAACAATTCAACTTTTCTCAATATTTTAATAAACTAATAGCTCTTAAACTTCTAATTAAACTTTTTTCTTACAACTTTCTGTCTTAAAAATAATACAAATTTATTTATATTTAATCTTTCAATACAACAAATTTTTATATTTTAATAAAATTATCTTTATTTATATTCTTTTTAAATTTCTTCAATTTATACTTAATTAAACTCTTTTACTTTTAAGTAAACTAAGTATACTAAATTTTCTGCTCCCAACTATAATAATTTTATCAATTCTAACTATTATATTACATACAAACTAATATTTTCTAAAAAAAACATATGTTCTTAATTTTCATTAAATTTTACTAAACAATCTTATTCTCTCTTATTAAACAAAAATATTCAATTCATTAAAGTGATCATTTTTATATAAATTTCATCTTTAATAAACCAAAACTCATTAAGTTATTAATATTTTTTTTTAAATTTTTATCCAAATTCCTTTCTAAAATTCTATTGGTCAATTTTGGAAAATTTATAGTAGTGTTCTGAAAATTTTACTTTTTACCAATTATAAAAATATCCAAATACCCAACATTTTTCAAATTCTTTTAAAGGAAACTGGAAAATTTACTGACTCTCTGAAAAATTTACTGTCAATTTCAAAAAATTTAATTTTTTCTTGTCTAATTCTTATTCTTTTTATTT